GGGGGGGCGGGCCCCCGCAGCCACTGCTGCAGCCCCAGCCGGGAAGGGGGCAGGATGGACACCCCAGGCTAGGCATCATCCGAGTGTGGCTGGGCACGGTGCCCCTCACTCCTGACCCGTGGCTCCCACCATCCCAGCCCTGCTCTGTCCCGACCCTGCTGGTGCCCCAACCTGCAGCCCCTGCCATGCCAGCCCCATGGTCCATGTTGGGCTCACCGTGGCATTAGCCCGAGCTGCGCTGGGATCCCACAGCCCTCCCCGTCCCCAAGAAGCAGGGCCAGGGGGCCCCACGGCCGGCCTGGCTGCAGACAGCGACCCGTGGCTCCCACCATCCCAGCCCTGCTCTGTCCCGACCCTGCTGGTGCCCCAACCTGCAGCCCCTGCCATGCCAGCCCCATGGTCCATGTTGGGCTCACCGTGGCATTAGCCCGAGCTGCGCTGGGATCCCACAGCCCTCCCCGTCCCCAAGAAGCAGGGCCAGGGGGCCCCACGGCCGGCCTGGCTGCAGACAGCAGCCCCTTCCCCAGGTCTCCAGCCTGCGTGGGTGAAGTGGGGGGGAAATACTCATGGGAGGTGTCGTCCCCCAGCCCCAGCAGCCTCCGACCGTGCACGGTTTGCTCCCCTGCAGGCATCGGGCATCCAGCCCTGCACCAGAACCTGCCGCCCGGCTTCCCCGCCTCCATGCCCAGCGCCATGCAGTCCGTGTTCCCCCTCTCCCAGGAGCCCCCAGCCCAGCTGGTCATCCTGCCCACGGAGCCCACGGCCCATGGCGCCCCGCACACGTTGGGTAAGAGCGGGGCAGCGGGGCCCGGGGGTGGTGTCTGTGCCGGGGTGGGCAGGGGCTCGGGGCTCAGCTGCAAGGCTGAGCCCGCTCTTCTCTCCCTGCGGACGTCACGGACCGGGCGTCGCTGTGGCCGCCCATGTACGCGGGCCGGGGCCCCGGCTCCCACCTGCAGCACGCGGGGCAGCTGCCCGTGTACTCGCGCTCCCAGTTCCTGCGGCAGCAGGAGCTCTACGCCCTGCAGCAGCAGCAGCGGGCGGCCCAGGCGCTGGAGCTGCAGAGGCAGGCGCAGATCCAGGTAGGGAGGGAGGCGGTGCCAGGGTGAGGGTCCGGTCTGGGGGCATGTGGGGGGGTGAGTCTGGCCATGGGGCTGCTGTGGCTGGGGCGTGGGGCAAGGGTACGGGACACGTGGCCATATGTCCAGGATGTGGGCAGTGGCATGTAGCCCTATATTTGGGGCATGGGCTGGGGCTTGTGGCCACAGGGCCAGGGTGTGGGCTGGGGCATGGCTGGGGTGTGAGGCCACGTGTCTCAGGCACATGGCCATGGTGCTGCGATGTGGCCACATGTCCAGGGCATGGACAGTGGCATGCACCCTATGTCTGGGGCACAAGCTGGGGCTTGTGGCCATGTGTCCAGGGCATGGGCTGGGGCATGTGGGCCAGGGTGTGACCACATGCCCAGGATGTGGGTTGGGATGTGTGGCCAGGTGTGTGGGGCACATGAGTGTATGTGCAGGGTGTGGACTGGGGTGTGTGACCATGTGCCTGGGGTGTGATGGGGGCCTGTGGCCATGTGCTGGGGGCATGTAGCTGGGGTGCGCGGCCACGTGCCCGGGGTCTGACTGGGCCGTGTCCTGCGCCCGCAGCGGAAGCCGGAGGAGCAGCACATGGAGCTGGAGGAGCTGGGCATGGAGAAGCCCCTGAAGCCGGCCCACAAACCAGTTGCCTTCAACCCCCCGGCCAAGGGCGGCCCATGCCCCGCCAAGCTCTCGCCCTGCTGCCACTCGCCCCCACTGCGGCACCTGCCCAAGTGCCCTCCGGCGCACCCCGCGGCCCCCTGCACTTTACCCGTCTGCCCGGCCGCCAGCTCGGCCGTGGCCCCGCGCTCCCCGGCTGTCAGCCCCGTGCCCTCGCAGAGCTCCAAAGGGACCGACGTGGAGGACAAGAGAGGGGAGGGGCAGCCCCCCCAGGACTACCCCCCCTCGCTCGAGCCAGGTAGGAGCAGGGGGCACCAGGGACCCTGGCACGGGGCAGCTTGGCGTGGCCTTTGCTCCACACCGAGCCACGGAGCCCGGCTGCAGGGCCCCCATCCCGTGGCACGGCCTGGCCAGCTCGGGGCAGAGGGCAGAGCTGACCACGTGCGCCTCCCTGCAGACCTGCCCCCCGGCTACAGCTACCCAGCCAGTGGGCTGGGCTACGTGTCCCCGCTGGCGCCCGACGCCCACTCCGCCTCTCCGGCCGACCCTGACACTATGCAAGCCGCCTCCCCGGCCGCGGAGCCCGAGCAGTCCCGGACGTTCCCCCCTGCCGAGGTGGGCGCCGTGGTGGTGCGGGCCGAGGTGGGCGCCGTGGCCGAGGCCGAACATGCTGTGCCGCCCCTGCGGCATCACCACCTCCTGCTGCCCCCGGGGCCAGCCTGCGGGGAGCTAGCGCCCGTCTCGGGGCAGGTGCCGCCCTACAGCCCCCTGCCAGGCGGGACAGGCCTGGAAGCGATGCCAGGGGGCACGGAGGAGCTGGAGGGCCCTCCACCGCTCACCGCGGAGGAGGAGGACGAAGATGAAGAGGTGTCGGAGGGCAGCGGCGATGAGGAGCTGGAGGGCGACGCCTCGAGCGGGCACCTGGGTGGGCTGGACGCGCTGATCGCCGCCAGCATCGGCCTGGGGGACCTGCCTGCCCTGAGCCCGCGCCCTGCGGCCTGCCCCTGCGGAGCCGGCGTGCCGGGCATTGCCCTGCTCAGCGAGCTGGCCGATCTGGAGCTGCAGCAGCGCCGCTGCGACTCGGCTGCCCCAGGTGAGCTGCCCGCACCTTCCCCAGTCACGGGCTCCTGCACCGGGGCCTCGCATTGCTGCCGCCCATGGTGGGGCTCCGGCACCATCCGCCTGCCCCAGCGCTGCTTCCTGCTGGCGTTGGGCTGAGCAAAACGTGCAGGTGCAGGTGGCCCTGGGCCTGCCAACAGGCCAGTACACATGTGCACACGCTTGCCCCCCATGCACACTCATCCCCGTGTGCAGAGATGCACTGACATGCGTGCATGTGCTTGCACCATGAGACACACCAGTGTGTGCATGGGTGTATGGCAGCACGGCCCCATGCACACTCATGTGCTGGGTGCGTGCTCAGGGCTGCAGCGCACATGGGCCAGGCTGAGTGCTGCTCTGCTCCCTGCCCCGGGCTGCACTCCCCTTCTCCCCACCCCCACCATGGCTGCACCCCCTGCCGCCATCTCACAGCCTTTGCCCTGGAGACCCCCGCCCAACCCATGGGCTGCTGCCAGCGCCCCATGGCCACGGTATTTGGTGTGGCTATAAATCCCCTGCCTGGGCTGCTGCACAGCATGCCGCAGACAGACAGGCTCCAGGGGGGTCCGACAGCTCCCGGCGTGTGGCAGGGGCTGGTCCCTGGCCCCCGCTGACCTCCCGCTGTCCCGCCCCCCCCAGCAGTGGAGGACGAAGACCTGCTGGCTTTCAACCTGCAGCACCTGGCCACCATCGCAGCCGCCTGGGCACTGGTCCCCGCGCCCGGGCCCCACGCCGCAAGTACACCTGGGCCCCCAAGACCAAGCCGGTGAGTAGCCCACCTTCCCCTCACCCCCGGGCCCAGTCCGGAGCCTCCTCCAGCCCCTTGGATGCTGACTTTGAACTCGGGAGGTGCCAGGGGGGCAGCAGAAGCCCCCATGCAAAGGGGTCCAGCGCCAGAGGCTGGGCACCGGGTCAGAGCCGGCACCCGGGTGTGCGCCCAGGACCTGGGCTGGGCTCTGCCCTGGGTGGGCAGCTGGGGGTGACCCCCAGCCTGACCACTTCCCCATGGCCAGGTGTGCCCGCTGAAGGCCGCCATCGAGCAGCTGGACACGCAGGAGGTGGAGATGCGGATGCGGCTGGCGGAGCTGCAGCGCCGCTACAAGGAGAAGCAGCGGGAGCTGGTGAAGCTGCAGAGGCGGCATGACCACGAGTACGTTGGCCCGGCTCCGGGGCGGGAAGTGGGCAGGGAAGGGATTTCTTAGGGTGCTCAGCCTGGGCAGCACTCGGCGCGGGCAGGGCAGGGGGCACGGCAGGCCTCTCACCGCCCCGCGCCGGCGTCGGTGCCCACAGGCGCGATGAGAGCTCCCGCAGTCCGGCCCGGCGCGGCCCCGGGCGGCCCCGGAAACGCAAGCACTGCAGCACGCTCAGCGCCCTGCGCCAGGCCAGCGCCCTCGGCAAGGCCGACAGCCGGAAAGTCAAGTGAGTGGCGCCGTGAGGGGACAGGTCCGGCTGCCCGCGGGGGCGCAAGCGGGCCTGGGACACACGTCGGCTGCGGGGGCTGGGGGGCGCGTGCCCCCTCCCCTGGCTGGAGAAGGCACCGTTGCATAAAAGCCTCTTTATCCGCGCGGTATAAAGCCATTGGTCACGCTGCAGTGGCGTTCATTGCCGCCGGCGCTTTATGATTACCCATTAGCCGCCCGGCGCAGCCGTTCCCGCGCTCGCGGGCGCTGTATAATTGTCCTTCTCCGCTACAAATTGCCTCTCCCGACAGGCCCATTTGCATAAATCCTCCGCGCCCGTCCAGGCACGATTGGCGCGTGCGTGCGCGCCCGGCATCAATCCCCGTGATTTGGCCATAATAGTTAAATCTGCACTAAATGGTTCCTTCAATTAAGGCAGAGGGGGGAAAAAAATTAATCTCGGGGTTTTATGTCACAAAACATTAGCGCGCGCCGGGAAGGGGACGGGCGGGGGAAGGAGACCGGCGCGGGGCTGCGGCGCGGCTCTGACATACGGCTGCCAGGAATCCCCCGGCTCCACTCGGGGCGCGCTGGGCTGGTCCAGCGCTGGGGGGAGGGCAGGAAGGGGCTGTGGGAGCAGAGATGCCCCCAAACCCAGGCAGCTCTGGCTGGGGTATCTGCCCAGAGGGGCCGGCACGGAGCTGGGGTCTCCAGATCGAAACCCCAAGCAAGTGCCCAGGCGTGTGCAATGTGGGGGGGGCTGAGACCCCGCAGCTCACTGCACTTGTGACTCTCTGCCTGGGTCCAGCTGCTTCCCACGTCTTGCCAGGACTTGCCAGGGCTCTAGTGAGAGCCTGGGACTAACAAACACTGCCCCCAGACCCCCCCTCTGCCCAAGGCCCTCTGCCCTCCGGCCTCCCCCACGACCCTGACAGCTGGTGGTGAAAGAGGGGATTGTGAGCAGCCGCCCCCCCGCCCCCGGGGTGTTAATTAGCTGCAGCAGCTCCCCGGGGCAGGAATGTGGCAGGAGGACACGAGAAGCCCAGGAATGTCCCAGGCCGTCCGGTGTCATCCCCCCTCCGCGACGGATGGGGCGGGAGGCCCACGTGGGCATGCACCGTGGCGCGGCCTTGGGGCCTGGGCTGTGGCTATTGCTGCAGACATCGAGGGGGGTCCTGGGCCGGTTGTGGGGGACAGACAGAGGAAGCCCTGCTGCAGTGCCCTGAGGCTCCCCTGCCCCGCAGGTCGGTGAAGGCCAGCCTGTCCCTGCTGTGCGCCGAGCTGCGGGGCGACACCGAGCCCAAGAAGAAGCGGAGCAAGATGGGCGAGGATGCCTACGGCAGCCTCAAGAGCTCCCAGGTGGGTCGCGCCAGCCAGGGGCACCCCGATCCCCTCCCGGGCGCACCAGCCTCGGGGACCAGAGCCCCCCGGGAGCAGGCACGGGGAGGGTGGGTGTCCCAGCCAGGTGGGTGCTGCTGACGGGGGTCTCCTGGCAGGACAAAGTGCGGTGCAAGAAGAGCGGCTCTCAGAGCAAGCTGGTTGCCAAGGTCTCGCAGCTGAAGCAGAAAGTGAAGAGCAAGGCGCTGCCCGCTGGCCTCGGCCCCTTCCGCCGGAAAGACCCCGCCGCCGGCAGCCGCATCCAGAAGAAGCTGCCCCGGGCAGCCGCATCCAGAAGAAGCTGTCCGGGGCCAAGAGCTCCAAAGCGGGCGGCTGCTCCAAGTACCCGCTGCCGGGCCCCGATGCCCGGGACCCCCCCGACTTCCACGGCCAGGCCAGCCCGGGGGCCAGCGGCACAGGTAGGGCATAGCTGGGGGGTCCCTGTAAAGCACCCAGGCCCTGAGAGACCCCCTAGGGCACTGTGCAGAGTCCAGCTCGCAGCCACCCGGCTCCAGCTGCGCGGAAGGAGGCATTTAAAAATAGCAAATAGCCGGCCGTGCTGCAGCCCCGGGGGTGACCCGCGGCTCATGGGGTGGGGGGGCCGGGCTCGGAAACAAGAGTGGGAACAGTCTCGGCTTCCTCTGCCCACGGGGCCCCGTGTCCCGCAGAACAAAGCGGGGGACCGGGACCGGATGCAGGAAGGAGGAAGCGGGGGGAGCATCCGCCCGCGGTGGGGGGGAGCTCTGGCCAGGGGGTCCCGGCTGCCCCCGCTGCCCCACAGATGACGACCCCGACGGGGACTCGGACAGTGAGGAGGGCGACGAGACACTGCTGCCCCGTGACCCCCCTGGGCTGGCCCTGCTGCCCGCCAGCCCCCCCGCCGTGCTGGGGCCCTCCCCGTCCTCCGTGGTGAAGATGGAGGCCAACCAGAAGGCCAAGAAGAAGAAGGAAAGGCAGGGGTTACTAGGTAACGGGACCCCCTCTTTGGGTACCGGGCAGGGAGACCCCATCCCGGGCTCCCCTGTGCATGTGTGGGGAGGGCTGGTGCCAGATGTTTTGCTCGCAACCTGGGAAACATCTGGCCTGGGCGAGTCCAGCCGAGATAGAGCGGGTGGCAGGGTCCCGGGGGCACCGGCGGGGACATCCGCCCCGCTCCCAGCTACGTGCCAGGCCCCGGGGAAGCCACCGAAGCAGCGTGCCGCTCCCCGCAGGGCTGTGCCGCATCTCCAGCCCCGAGGGCGAGGTCAAGATCAAGCGGCGCCCGGCCAAGCCCAGCGTGGGGGCGCTGGAGAAGGTGCCCGCCCGGAAGAAGCCGGGGGCCTGCGAGGGCAGCGCCAAGAAGAAGCTGAAGGGCAAAGCCAAGGAGAGCCTGCGGGAGCCGGGGCAGCCCAGCCCCAGTCCCCCGGCCCTCGGCCCCTTCCCCGGGGCTGAGCCCAGGTCGCTGGGGGCCAGGGACGACGGGGCGAAGATCGCCAGCGAGCGCCTCAAGAAAGCCACGCGCAAGAGCAAGGTGCTGCAGTCGGCCCTGCGGGTGAGTCCCGGGGTTGGTGGGGGCACGGGCAGTGCCCGGCAGGGTGGGCGCCGCGCAGCGGTGACCAGGGTCGTGCTCTCTGCAGCGGAAGAACGGGGCGCTCTCGCTGGCGCTGTCGCCCCGCAACGCCAAGGCCATCCTGAGCAAGGGCAAGAAGCTGGGCAAGGTCAAGAGCAAGATGGCCACCAAGCAGGTAAGGGACCCAGGCTGGCACGCGCCCCCCGAGATGCCCCCCAGGACTGGCCCAGCTCCCGGGCAGCTCTCGGATGCCAAGGGCCTGATAGCCGGCCCTGGGGGCTGCGGGCGCCCGGCACCGTGGCTGACCCCCAGGTCTTGCAGAGCAAGGGCCGGGCGGTGAGCCGGCTGCTGGAGAGCTTCGCCGTGGAGGACGACTTCGAGTTCGATGACAACAGCAGCTTCTCGGAGGAGGAGGAGGGCGCCCCGGGGGCAGGGCTGGGGCTGGAGCGGGGCGGGGGGC